TGGGAAAAACCCTCTTCAGCTTGGCCAACCCACGCCAGCAGCGCACTATCAGTTCCTTCAGCAACAGCAACTGCAACTGCATAGGCTACAGCTTCCACAGCAGCACCAAATGAAGCAGCAAGCTGAGATGATGTTTGGAAAAAGCACTAGTGGGATTAGCTTGAATTTCGATAGTTCTAGCTGCACTCCTACAATGTCATCTACCAGATCTTTTTTATCGTCCTTGAGTATCGATGGTAATGTGGCTAATTTGGAAGGAAGTGCATTCCATTTAACGGGGGCAGCTCGCTCCTCAGATCAGAGTTCACAGCAACACAAGAGGAAATGTTCTGGAAGGGGAGAAGATGGAAGTATTAAATGTGGAAGCAGCGTTAGATGTCATTGCTCAAAGAAGAGGTTAGATTTGTTTCCTTTCTATGTGTCTATTTAATTATTCTGATGTTAGCAATTGATAGTTCAGAATCGCGTCTGTTTCGTTTTATGGTAATCTTAGGCTTGTTTTAACTCCTTTTTGCTTCATTGTTTTTGCTGTTATGGCAGGAAACATAGGGTGAAGAGGTCGATCAAGGTTCCTGCTATTAGCAACAAGCTTGCTGATATCCCACCTGATGATTACTCATGGAGAAAGTATGGGCAAAAGCCAATCAAGGGTTCTCCTCATCCTAGGTATGCTTGCCTATTCTATTTCTGAAACAAAGTTTTGCTGCCAGTAACATATACAAATTCTCTTTCAATTTAGTTGTGATTCTGGAATGTTTTGAACTTCCTGATAAATGAACTTATGTTGTTGCTAATTTTGCTGACATTCACTCTGTACCCAGTACGTGGTGTGTAGTGTTCATTTATAATCTAAATTGCTCTCACATATACCAGACCAGGCATATTAAATGCTCATTCGATTGTGAATGTTGTGCTCATTTGCAACCTTTTGGTTGTGGTGTGTGTGTGAAGTAGTCTCCAATGAAACAAAACTAAATGCATGCGTTGTTTTTGCTTATTGATCAACCTTTTGGGCTGGCTTGAGCTGGTAGTTAAATAGTGTTATTTTTTGACTCATGACCTTTGGTGGAAATTTGCTTTCAGTCCTCCCGTGATTTTGAGTCTCCTTTTGTGCTTGTCTATCCTGTTTACAATTCTTGGTCGCCTGCAGTTGAATTGTTGTGAAATTCTGTTCTCAGAATGAGATGCCTGTACTGCTGGTTATCATTGGTGACGAGTAATGCTTGTAGTAGTTTCGATTCAAGTGTCAATTTTTAGGAATGGCATATGCTCCAGTACTAGCTTTTTGAGGAACTTGTTCAAACTGAGAATTCCCTCTTAAACTTGTGCAGGGGATATTACAAATGTAGCAGCATGAGAGGTTGTCCTGCAAGGAAGCATGTGGAGAGGTGCTTGGAAGATCCGTCCATGCTTATTGTTACCTATGAGGGTGAACATAACCACCCAAGGATTCCAGCACAATCCACAAACACGTAACCACCCAAAGGTTCTCACTGTTCAATGAAGGCTTATTTATGAATGGCTCCTGTATATATTTAGCATGGTTCAACCCTGAGATATAGTTGGAGCAGGTGTTTTTGTTTCTTTCTTTCTTTGTTTTTTTTTTGGGGGGGTGGGGCCTGCTTTGGGGAGTTAGCTTTCCAATGCTTTGTTAGCAGCCTGACAGAGGCAAGCTTCAATCCTGGCACTGATCCTCAGACAAATGTAGAATTGGGGTTTCAAATTGTAAGAACTCTTTGATTTGCAACCAGCGGCTCTAAACAGTTCAAAAGAAGTGTTTCTTCCCGGGTTGTTGAAATGGGCTCAATTGGTGTAATTTTCTTTCCGATTTGACTTCAGTTCCTGATGGCATTGCATTTGAATGATTAGTAGTTGGTTTGGAGTGCTTGTGGGGTTCCTGGGCAGATGAGATGAGTGTGTTACTTTGCTTGCATGGACCCATCATGACATACGGCATGTCCACCAACAATGGTTAGCAATGATGGATTGCAAGATACATTGGGACATGCATGCGAGGAACTAGCAACAACAATGTATATCATTGAATGTACGGTCTGAATCGTAATTCAATCTTGGTGCTGGTTCTTGAATTATCAGCTGTGAAATCTTTTTTCCTTCTCTTGTTCACAGATGGTCTTCTGCATTTGACCAGCTGCTTCCCTGTCTTTGTGATCTTGGTTCTAGTCTTGGACCCTTGGTGACTTGAGCTTGCAGGTCGGCCATTTTCCGAGCATGTACTTCCATTTATCCGATGAATTAATCCAGAAAACATATATATCAAGAAAAAGAAGGAATCTGTACACCAATCACTGCATTAACTCTTCCTTCCCTCTTGCGAGGGAATCATTCAAGTCACCAGAGGGAGGATTGCGCAAGGCATGTGACGTGACATGGGCTATCGATCTATCGCTATATCACTGGATCTCCACTGGCATGTATATTGTCCTCGGACAAGTCCCAAATCTTGAAAATCATCAAGAGCAAAACATTCTGTCTGGCCACCTGTCGGCCTAAGTTGGTAAACACTGTACAGTCATACAACCCCATCAGCAAGTATGTCCCCACAAATAAATCATCTACACTAACAGGGGAAATATAGTACATGATGCAAGAATTGAATTGGTAGTGGGGTTGATGTCTTGCTTGCTTGTTCTTAAAATAATTTTTTAAAAATAAAAAAAATATTATTTTAATATATTTTTAAATTAAAAATATTTTAAAAAACTATTATTATAATATCTCCAAACACGAAGAACTTGTCAATCAATTACTAGGGCAAGTCACCGAAGTTATATTGGTGTCACCTGGCAGGGTTGAATAAGGTTGGACTCATGTTTCAATATAAACCCATCATGGTTGTTGAAGCATGATGCCTAGTGGTTTTTCAACCCTGGAACAGAGGTAGATGGGATCTTGACTAGCTGTTGATATTGGTTCGTTGTAGTTGGGAAACGCCTTGTCAGGGAATATTATGTCCTTTGGGCAATTAGTGATGACTTAGAACAAATTACCCATCTAAAACACTAGAAATTCATTTTAAAGGCAAGTAGTTTTTTTTTTTCAATTAACGTGGGTGTCCGGGCCAGCTTGTGCGCACCACAACTAATTTCACGGTGCTTAAAGTTAACGACCATGTAAATTTTTAATAACCATCATATGAGTAACCAAGAATTCAAACCTGAAACCACAGAAAGAACAAATCTCTTAATTCTAAACTCTTACCACTTGACCACCACCTACTTAGATGGTTGCAAGTAACCTTTTTTTATTCAAAAAAATATAAAAAGCCTAGCATTGAAGAATGATGAAGAAAAAAGACAGGATTCAGTATATCTATCTTTTTTTAGATTAACGTGGGTGTCCGGGCCAGCTTGCACGCACCACGACTAATCCCACGGGTCCTGAAGTTAACGACCATGTAAACCTCCAGTGGCCATCATATGAGCAACCAAGGACTCGAACCTGAGACCACAGAGGGAGCAAACTTCTTGATCCCAAGTCCTTATCACTTGGCCACCACGTTGCAAGTAGCTTTTCTTAATCTCTCTTGGTATGGAGATCGTTTCCCAACCATGTACAAAATCTTCAACCTGTAATCAATTGGCTTTGACTGTAGTTTTCAGCTTGACCATATATATTCTCTTCTCTTCCCATTTTGGCGAGAATAAATTCTTTTTTAGCCTTTTCCTTTTATCGTACAACAATGGGGTGGCATTTTTTTCTTCCTATATAAGCATGTGGGTGGAAAGTTCTATGCGAGGAAATCTATTCGATGATTTCTTTTTAATAAAAAATTTATTCACCAGTTAATTGGATGTTGCAACCTTTTGTAAACTTGGACTCGTATTCTTTGGTAATGGATTCGAACGCGTGCTTTATGAAAATTTATTTTTTTATATTTTTAATCATTTTAATATGTTGATGGTAAATATAATTCTTAAAAAAATAAAAAAAAATTATTTAAATATATTTTTAAAAATAATCATTATTATATACTCTGTATATAATCCAGGCATTATACACCCGCTTAGCTAGCTTGACTTCAATGCTAGTTGAAATGGACCGTAATGCCTTGGTAATAACTTGTCCGGAGTGGAAAAGTATATTATTTTTTTTTTAGATTAACGTGGGTGTTCGGATCAGCTTGCGCGTACCATGACTAATCTCATGGACCCTGAAGTTAATGACCATATAAGTTTCCAGTAACCATCATATGAGCAACTAAGAACTCGAATCTGAGACCACAGAAAGAACAAACCCCTTATCCTAAATTTTTACAACTTTACCACCATCTAGATAATTAAAAAAAGTATATTCTTTCTCGAGTTTGAAAGAGAGGAGCAGACCCTGATGGAAGTCCTCTACCACGGCGCCACCCTTGTAGGTTTCGATGCAGCTGGCGGTGAAGAATGGGTCCTGAGCTCATGATGGCCTGGGCCTTCCTGGTCAAACCGTTCAGTTGCTCTCCCAGTGGAAACACGCCAGAAAACCTGCCCTCGAGCATGTGAAAAGGCTACTTTAAGACGTGCACGGCCAATCTATCTCTATGTGCTGCGATTTGTTGGCGTAGGAGGGAACTTATTGAATGCTACCTTGTTTCGTATGGTATAATGTCATATTTTTTTGTCTCTCCATTCAATCAAAATGCCCAGTCCACAAGCATGTCAAAGACTGCTTTGTTATGCAATACGTTGTGGTTATTGTAAAAAAAAGATAAAGAAATACACTAATAATACAGGTTAAAATAGTATTAGAAAAATGGTATCCTTCGAACCCAATTTTCTTCTCTTCAGAAGCTACAAGGAGTAGATAAGAGGGAGAGAAAAATATTAAAACATACAGAAACTCTATAATAATATTATTAATATAATTAAAAAAAATTGATAAAAAAATTTAATAATATTAAAAAAATTTACTAATAATGACCAGAGCTTGATATACTAGTTATTCAAAAGCAAATAAGCCCTACATATTTGAATTATGGCCCGCTAATATTATTTTTTAGAATATTTTTTGGTATTAATGTTTTTATTTTGTTGATATTTTTTTAAAAAAAATATTGGTAGCATATTGTTATTAGAATTATGATGTGTTCCATAATTTTTTTTTTGTTTCTCTCTCCTCTCAACTCTCTTATTATTGTAAATTATGCAAGTTTATTTTTAAAAAATAAAGAGTAATGTATGATACTTATAATTCACAGTCTAAAGTATACTATTTTTAAAAATATTTCATGTATTTTGTCTGTTTTTTCAGTGCTAAATGAAGACTTCTAAAGCTAAACATTAGAGTTACACGAAGACCAAGAACTTGGATAGCGTGGATGAATAAGAAAACCAGTGGAGGGAACAAAGACTGGTAAACTGGTGAGTAAAGCAACAAAAACCCATCAGTTTTTTCATTTTGCTTTAGAAAAGTAGAAGAAGGAAAGTAAAAGAAGAGGCACTTTTCATTTTGCGTGCTGGCTGGCTGGAGTTGAAATGTTATTAACATCAACATTATCATTAAAATAAATAAATAAATAAATAAAGTTTTTGGTTAAATATACTTGATTACACTCATAAAATACTATTAATTAAAATAGAGTTTTGTAAAAAAAAATTCCTTTTTTTAGCTTAAGGGTTTTTTTTTTAATCTTACCCTTAAACAACTTGATTTTTTTTAATTTTTTTTAATATTAGGTTTTTTTTTTCAAAATTGTGCTTAGCTTTTATTTTTCTGTTTGGTTATATATATATCTCATCAATTTGGTTTTTTTTTTAATTTTAATCTTCAATATTAGATTTATTAAAAATAAATTTTTAATTTTTTATATGAATTTATCTTTATTATATGATTTAAGTTAAGAGTTTAATATGTTAATTCAAGTTGATTAAATTTTTTTTATCTTCTTTTTTTATAATTAGTTTTTATTTTCGATTTCATTATTCAACATTGAGTTGATTGAAAATTAAATGTTATAATTTTTTAATTTGTTTTATACAAAGTTATCTAGTCTCCTAAATTTAGTTTTTCTTTTCTTTTTTCATTTCAACATTCAACACTGTATTTGTCGAAAGTAAAGTTTCATAGATTTTTTATTTTTTTCATAAAATAATCATGGTCTTGTGACTCGGGTCATCAGTTTAATATGTTCGTTTTGAGTTAACTTGTTTTTTTTATATTTTTATTTTTTTTAATTTTATCCTTTAACTTCTGATTAGTTGAAAATTAAGATTCATAATTTTTTAAAATTTATTTTTAATGGGGTTGTCTCGATCGTATGATTCGGATCACGTATTTAACAAGTTGACTTGAGTTTTTTTTTATCATTTTTTATTTTTTTAATCTTGTCATTCAATATTAAATTAATTAAAAATTAACTATCATAATTTAATTTAATTTATTTTTTGTAAGTTTATTATGATCTCATGATCCAGATTGTTGTTTAACAAGTTAATCTATATTAAAAATGATATCTTCACAATTATTTTTTAAATATATTTTAATATATTACCGTATCAATATTTTAAAAATAAAAACTAATACATATTATATTTTGAGCCCATAATTAATTTTTTTTCTATTAAAAGACACGCTATGAATGCTTGTATATTTTTTTTATATTTAAAGAAAATTAATTAAATTCGCAGCATAACAAGAACAAATAATCTAATTATTATAAAGCATTTGCGCCATGAGTTGAGTCGTTTCGCTAGCTAGTTGGTGGGTGGCCCAGCACGTCCGTTTTATTAATGGGCCTAACCCGCACCTTTTTTGCCTCGCACCCAACCATCCATGGACTGGTTGGACCACCCTCATATTTCCACCTCTTGTTTCTAACAGATTTTTTTCCTCTGAAAATTAAATTTTTTAATGTTTTTTAATC